ATCAAGGCCGTCTTGAGCACCCTGGGGCCTCCCGCTCCCGCTCTGTGGCCCAGCTTGGACCTGTCCTGGGGCTCTCTTGGGCCGTCTGGGGCCCCTCCTGGGCAATTGTCGGGCTCCCTGGGGTCATCTTGGGGCTCTGTTGGGTGCCTCTTCGGCGGTATTGGGGCGGTCTTGGGGCGGTCTTGGGGGCGTCTGCGGCCGTCTTCAAGCATTGGAAGCTCGAGAACGCGAGAAAACGAATAACCACTGAACAAACCAATGCAAATCAATGATTTGGGCCTCTTTGGGCTCTCTCGGGACGTCTTTCGGAGCTCTCTTAGGCCCTTTTGGAGGCCTCTTGGGCTGTGTTTGCCGTCTTGAGCTCCTCTGGGCCACGTCGGGATCATCTGGGCCGTCCTGGAGCTCCTTGGGGCCTCCCGCTCCCGCTCTTGGGCCCATCTTGTGCCTCTCCTGGGCTTCTCTTGGGCAGTATTGGGCTGCTCTTGGGCAGTGTTCAAGCTCTTCTGGGACGTCTTGGGTTTTTGTTGGGGGGCCTCTTCCGCGGTCTTGGGGCGATCTTCGGGGCGTCTTCAGCCGTCTTCGAGCGCTGGAAGCTCGAGAACGCGAGAAAGCGAAAAACATTGAACAAATATCCAGGAATCAAGGACATGGGCCTCCTCGGGCTCTCTCGGGACGCCTTTCGGAGTTCTCTTAGGGCCTCTTGGAAGCCTCTTGGAAGCCTCTTGGGCTGTGTATTGGCCGTGTTGGGCCCATCTGGAACCACGTTGGGGCCATCAGGGCCGTCGGCCTTCTGGGGGCATCTTGGGCTTCTTGTGGGCAGTCTCGGGGCTCGTTGGGGCAGTCTTGGGGCCCTCTTGGGCGATATCGAGAGCACATCGTGCCATCTTGGACGCTGCGAAAACCCAAACAGCGGATAAGGTAAACAATGTGTATTCTCCAGCGGAATGAATGGTGTTTGCTTCTTCGGGGCCTACTTAACGGTCGTCCGAAAGGGCGTTTGGGGCGGGGGGGGGTCTGGTTTAGGGTGTGGGGGTGGGGGGGGTCGGGGTGGGGGGGCCCCGGGTAATAAGAATATAGGAATCGGAATCTGCCTGATCCTGTAGCCAGCCAGCCAGCCAGGCCATGCTCTGGGGCGTGTTTTTTTGAAGACGTCTCACACGGCGGGCCCCGGGACCCAAAACATTTGTCCCGAGCCCCGAAAGAATACTCTCTCTAGAACCCCGAAATCATATTACATGTTCTGAACCCGTGTCCCCGGATTTTCTCGGATCGGGCGAAAGGGGGGGATAGCAAAGGGGGGGTTTGAGAATCAGCTCACGTAGCTGATTTTCCCGGCGCCTCCCGGCGCCGGAGGCGGCTATGTATCGAGGAATGGGCCCCTCGGTGAGGCCGAAACCAGCTGCATGCAGCAAATTTCGTAACCCCCCCTTTCCCAATCCCCCCCTTTCGCCCGACCCGATTTTCGCCCGTCCCCGGATTTTCGCCCGAGCCGTTTTTTGACGGTGCCGAGGCCCGGCGAGGGACCCTGGAGGCCGAACAGGTGTGTCCCAAGACCTCCAGCCGTGACTTTTGTTCGCGGCGCGAGCACCTGGAGGTAACCGGCACCGCCAGTCTCCAGACCTCTCCCGGGAGGCGTTCTGACCAGAACTTCGAAGCGAATCCAGCTGTGGCATCGAGGACCTCCCGAGAGGCCCAAAACAAGTGCAAACGATGCAATGGTAGCGGTGCCTGTTACATTTCCCGACGTGTCTTCCGTTGGTTCGCGTGCGTTTCTTCACGACGCGAGCTTATCTGAGATTAGTTTTGGCGGCGAGCGAGGGAGGGAAATGAGAAGGAGAAGACCTTCTCGGAAGGCGGCGGGACTTCTCAGAAGCCCTCGCGCCTTCTGGACAGTGTTCTGTGTCTTCGGGGAAGGCTCAGACAACTGTCTTAAAGGCCGGGAGGCTTCCGAACCTTTCTGGAAGGCCTTTTCCTTCTCTCTTCTCCCCCTCGCTCGCCACCGATCGTTCTCGCAGTTCTCAGTCTGAGCGTGTGTGCGTGGGGGGGAGGAGGAGGAGAAGGGGGAGGGGGAGGAGGACAAGCTAGGTGCGCTCGCGTCATATCTGACATCCTACCCCTCCCTCCCATCCCTTACCATGGCGTAGATCACCTCTCTACTCGCACAGTCGGGGTACGCGATGCATCGTAGAGCACGGCATAGCATGGCGTAGAAGAGCACCGCAAAGCGTAGTATGTCACAGCATGGCGTGGCGTGGCGTAGTGAAGAATTGCATCACAAAGCTTTGCAACGCAAAGCATGGCATCGCACAGCGGCCCCGAATATAACATTGCATAGCATGGCGTTGCAGATCAAACCGTAGCATGGCATAGCACGACGTGGCACGTCAGCACTGCATATCACAGCTTCAGCTGAAGGCATGGCATCGCGCAACGGAACGCAACCTAGCATTGCTGCATGCCGTGGCATGGCACGGGAAATGACGCCAGCGCTGCAGCGGGAGCACGATTCGGAACGAGCGGAAGCGCAGAAATGAGGCCGCCGCTGCAGCGGGGGCACGATTCGGAACGAGCAGAAGCACGGAAATGAGGCCAGCGCTGCAGCGGGAGCAGCATTTTGGGAAAACATGCAGGCGAAAACCCAACTCCAGGGAATCCTGTGTGAGAAGAAAAAGAAACGCAGGGGAGGGGGGGGGCGAACACTCCCATCCCGTCATCAGAGGAAGGAGGAGAGTAGTATTCATGTTGAGAAATTGTGGAGGAGGAGGAGGAGGAGGAGGAGGAGGAGGAGGTGGGGGGGAAAAGGGGAAGAGGAACACTGAGGAGGAGGAGGAGGAGGAGGAGGAGGAGGACGAAGAGGAGGAGGAGGAAGAGGAGAGGAAATAGGAGGAGGAGGGAGGAGGATGCGGAGGAGGAGGAGGAAGGATGGGAGGAGGAGGAGGGGAGGAGGAAGGAGGGAGGAGGAGGAGGAGGAGGAGGAGGAGGGAAGAAGGAGGAGGAGGAGGAGGTGTGAGGATAGGGAGGAGGAGGAGGGAGGAGGAGAGGAGGAAGAGAGAGGAGGAGGAGGAGGAGGAGGAGGAGGAGAGGAGGAGGGGAGGGAGGAGGGAGGCGGGGGGCGGCCGCGGGGCGACCGCCCGAACCGTGCGGGCCGCAGCTCCGTGCCTCGGGTCCAAAGCAGATGGGGGGGGTAAAGCTTTCGGTGGTTCTCGGATCGAAATCTGGGGCAGTGTGGATGTTCCCAGCGTGCGCGTTTGACTGATGTGCACGGTAACTTCATGACGGTGCCATCCTTTCTTGATCATGTTTCCTCATCCATGTTAATCATATATTCTCGCGCGGAGTGGGAACTTTCGCGCCCGCGCGCCGCTCGCGAAGAGCTTCGCGCCTTCGCACAACATCCCGTGGAGGAGGGGGGGAGGAGGAGGAGGAGGAGGAGGAGGAGGAGGAGGAGGAGGAGGAGGAGGAGGAAGAGGAGGAGGAGGAGGAGGAGGAAGAGGAGAGGGAGGAAAAGGAGGAGGAGGAGGAGGAGGAGGAAGAGGAGGAGGAGGAGGAGGAGGAAGAGGAGGGGGAAGGGGAGGAGGAGGAAGAGAAGGTATGAATGAAGTTCGCCAGCATCTTGAACCCCAGAAAATGGGGGCGGGGGCGGAAAACTCCCCTAGATTACAGCCTGTAACAAAGCAGAGAAAGGCAAATCCCACCAGCCCTTTAGGGCGTAGGTGGTCTAGAGAGTTTCCTCTGCCAACCCCCCTTCTTTCCCTTCGGGGAGGGGTTTACCCCTCCCCTTACCCCTCCCCACTGACCTGGACGGGGCGTTCCGCGACGCGTTGGGACGCCCAAGATGGCTCAAGACAGCTCCAAGAGCGAAAAGGCAAGAAAGCACAAAACATTGATTTTACCTAGGTTTTGGAAGGATTTTGGCCTCTTGGGGGAGCCCAAGAGGCGATCCGAGGCACTCTAGAGGGGCGAGGCTAATTGGGGACCCCCTCTTCTTTGATCGATCTCCTCCAAGATGGCCCCAAGAGCGCCCCGAAGGCTCCCAAGAGCGCCCCAAGAGCGCCCCAAGAGGCCCCAAGAGGCGCCCAAGAAGCCTCCAAAAGGCTCCCAAGAGACCCCCAAGAGGCCCAAGAGGCTCCCAAGACGGCCCAAGACGGCTCCAAGAGCGAAAAGGCGAGAAAACACAAAACATTGATTTTACCTAGGTTTTGGAAGGATTTTGGCATCTTGGGGGAGCCCAAGAGGCGACTCGAGGCACTCTAGAGGGGCAAGGCTAATAAGCAACCCCCCCTTTTTTTGATAGATCTCATCCAAGATGGCCCCAAGAGCGCCTCGAAGGCTCCCAAGAGCGCCCCAAGAGCGCCCCAAGAGGGCCCCAAGAAGCCTCCAAGAGGCCCCCAAGAGACCCCCAAAAGGCCACAAGAGGCTCCCCGAGATACGCAAGAGGCCCCCGGGACCGCCAAGAGGCCCCAAAGACGGCCCAAGAGGCCCCCAAGCTCGCCATTGTCCTCCTCCTCCTCTTTCTCTTCCTCCTCCCTCCTCCCCCTCCCCCTCCTCCTCCTCCTCCTCCTCCTCCTTTTCCTTTTCCTCCTTCTCGTCCTCGCAGTCCTCCATCTCCTCCTCCTTATCTTCCTCCTCCTCCTCCTCCTCCTCCTGCTCCTCCTCCTGCTCCTCCTCTACCTCCTCCTACTCCGACGACGACGGCTCCTCCTACATCCTCTCCCTCTTGGGGTATATGGCGGCTCACCCCGCCCTCTGTTCTTCTGCATGCTCCCCCGCTTCCCTCATAACCTCCACTCCCCTGGGACTCATTTCTGGACGGGCTGGTGGGGATACGCGAAGCGTCTAGAATTATCAGGAGCGGACGACGACTGGGAAGGCCACGGAAGGCGAGGAGAAGGACCAGGCGAGACGGCAGAGGGCGGCAGTAGAGACACCTCGAGATGAGAGGAGGACGAAGCGGGAATCACTGGGCCTGTGGGCGGCGACGGATGCGGGGCGGATCGCGC